TCTGTGAAAAGGGGATTATAATGCTGTCCCCTCCTAGGGCTTTCTGGAAGACCGAGAGATAACTCGGGTCACGTGCCCTTCCTGCGCAGACTTTAGGGAAGTTCCAGCCTTCACTCAACGTTTCATTACCGAGCTCTTTCTTCACTTGGGTACCTCAAATCCTTAGGTGCTTACCAAGTGCCTCGTAAACGTTTTACACTCAAGCTGGGGCCGCCAGGGAACAATTAAGCCGTAAACCTCATGACACTTACTTTGGAAAGAGGGAGCAGACCCAGAGTGTTTTTTAAAGATGACTAAAGCACTTCCTGGCCTCCCTCATCCCCTGCTGCCCAATTTTTTTGAAAGTATTGTTCTTATTGATAATTTTTTTGTTGCTATGTGACTCCATTACATGGTCGTGTATAGCAAATCTCCCCCATGCCCACTTGGTCAGGATCATTGCGGAGGGTAATGTTCTCAGCGCAAGCAGTTAAGCAGAATGTGCTGGAACATGGCTTTTGGCAGCCAATCTTCCGTGTGGTGTGTCCCTGCGTTAGTCAGCTAGAGCTGCCACAACTAACTAGCACAGACTGAGTGGCCTTAAGAGCAGACATTATTTCACACAGTTCTGGAGGCTGGAAGTCCAAGACCAAGGTGTTGGCAGGCTTGGTTCTCCTGCGACCCCCTCCTAGGTCCAGGCCACCTTCTTACTGTGTCCCCCACATGGCCACTCCTCGGTGTGTGCACTTCCCTGGTGTCTCTCTGCTTATAAGGACACCAGTCAGGTAGGATTAGGGTCCCGTCCTCTGGGCATCATTTTAACTTAATCACCTTTTGGATGCCCAGATACAGCCATGTGGCTTAGGGCCCTCTTTTAACCTTAATTGCCTCTTTAAAGGCCCCGTCTCCATACACAGTGACAGTCAGAGGTACTGGGGGTTGAAACTTCAACATATGAATTTTGGGGGACACCAGAATATGGGTCCAGCCCTGACTACGCCTTACGCTTCACAGGGCCTTTCTTTCCTTTCAGCCCGATGACAGGCTGACAACGTGGACCTGCCGTGGAACACCGCCACCCACAGTGCGGCACCAAACACCCGTGCTATAGCCGGGACTGGGAGGAACCCGTCAGGCAGGCAGCTGGGAAGGTAAAGATCACCTGTCCACTGAGTGGAAGGCTCCCAATATTGTCGTACAAAAGGCATAAGAGATATCACTGTTGCCTGGAGGTGGCCAGCGACCGGGACCTCTATGGGAGGTGCTGGAAGAGCCCATGGCTGGCCCATCACCACACCCGGGCACCCATAAGAGACAGAACAGCGTTCCCCAAGAGCAGGGCCTGGGTCTCAGAGGGCTTCGCTCTAGCTCTCAGGCTGCACTATGCGATGCTATCAGCTCTCCCACCTCTGGGACTCAGCAGGGACATCTGTGATGCCCAAAGCAAAGCCCCACGCGAAGCTCTGGATACAAGAAACAAGAGGCACTTTGTCCCCTTACATCCAGCGCAGCCAACGGGGATCGTGAGGAGATGGGCCTCGCCGGAGCGGGGACAGGGCGTCGCAGGAGGAAAGGCTGGAGACGTGCCTGGGGCAGACAAAGGAGAGAACTGCAGCCAGTCTGAGTTTACGCTGGACCAGGAGGCCGTGGGCCCAGCTCGTTGTTCCTTTCATCCTCGGCTATTTGCAAGCAACTTGCCTCGTCGTCCATCTTGATCTCCTAAGAAAAAGGAGACTGAAAGTCTACCTGGTAGAAACTGCTCCACACACTCAGGGTACCAACAGGATCGCGTCTCTTATTTTTCTAAAGTCTCCTGAGCCGCGCAGGCCTCCGAGCCAGAAATACAGCAGGTCTTGCTTGAGGTGCCTCCCCCGAAATATTATCCCAAAATACAGGGAGACTTGGGGAGGGAGCGAAGTTTAGAAAACTGCAGGCCTGTCTTCCAGCTTCTCCTCTTTCCCCTTCGAAGCCCCTCTCCCCATCCACCTGTATCTCATTCTCATTTTAAACCCACTTTTCCCCTCCATGTCTAACTTAATTTCCCTGTTCCGTGTCCCTCGTCCCACTGGCCTTATACCTCCTTGAAAAATGTGTTTTTAATTGGTGTTTGAAATTTCTAAACACGAATCTATAATATAAACACTGAAAATACTTTCTAGCTGCATGGGTGTTACAGCAATAATGCAAAACTGCCCGAGAAGGCACTAAATAGGTGTTGATTGTTCAAGCAGAAAAACTCATTTAAATGGTTTAAAAGAAGTTATTATAACACACTATTTTCCCAGTGACCTTCAGAAATTTATCTTCTCTGTATAGTACATATGTTATAATAGAAACCTCAGACACAATGTTAAAACTAGCAATCCAAGAATCTACCAACCCATTACTGCTGGTACATGAGTTTCTTTTAAAACTGAATTTAGTTCAACCCTTTGTCCTATTGAAAACGAAAAAGAAACATTTGAGTATGTACCATGTGCAAATAGGATACACAGAAGGGCTGTGGAGAATGGGCAAACATGTAGAAAGCACTTTTGCAGATACAGAAGGTTCTCTGGCTTGGAGGAAAGAGTGGAAGGCCCCTTTCCTTCCACTGGGAGGAAAATTCATCACTGGTCGTTAGAAGATATGCTTAAATAAAGGAATGCCAAATGAAAGCCATTTCTTCATCAAGGCCACTTGTTATCACTCCAGCCATTTTGGAGGCCTAGCTCAGCCTCTTCCCCAAGACTCTGCTTTCTCCTTTGAGGTTTTTTTTCCTCCCTAGTATATTCACACAGCAAACAAACAAAAAAAATTTCATTAAAAATTTGAAAAAAAGACCAGCCATGGTGGCTCACGCCTATAATCCCAGCACTTTGAGAGGCCAAAGAGGGAGGATTGTTTGAGCCCAGGAGTTCGGGACCAGCCTGGACAACATAGTAAGACCCCCATCTCTACAAAAATTTAAAAATTAGCCAAGCATGATGGCACAAGCCTGTAGTTCCAGCTTCTCAGGAGGCTGAGAATGGAGGATCACTTGAGCCCAGGAGTTGGAGGTTGCAGTGTGCTATGAACACTCTGCTGCACTCCAGCCTGGGAGCTGGAGGAAGACCCCATCTCTAAAAATATAT